CCAAGAAATGGAAGAAAATATTTGTAAACTATGTATTCCATAAGAAACTTGAATATGTAGACTATAAAGAACTGTTATAAAAATCAACAATAAAAAGGTAAATATCCTAATTAAAAAGTGGGAAAAGGCTAAAAATAGGTATTTCTCCAAATAAGATACACAAATAAGCTACCTTAAGAGAAAGATGCTTAACATTGATCTAAATCTCAAACCCATAACGAGATGCCACTTCAAGCCTAGAATACCAAAAATATTAATAACAACAATAATATTGATAGTATTGAGGTAAATATGGAAAAATGAAAACTCATTAATTCCAATTCAATGAGTTTTGATACAGTTACTTTGAAACAGTTCAGCAATTCGCCAGATTATTAAGCACACTTAAAACCATGTAACCCAGCATTTTCACTCCTACATATAGACTCAAGAGACTGGAACACAGACGTTCACATAAAAATCAGTAAATTAGGGGCTGGATGATAGCACAGCGCGCAGGGAGTCTGCCTTGCACACAGCCGACTCGGGTTCGATTCCCAGCATCCCATATGGTCCCCCGAGCACTGCCAGGAGTAATTCCTGACTACAGAGCCAGGAGTAACCCCTGTGCATCGCTGAGTGTGACCCAAAAAGCAAAAAAACAAACAAACAAAAAAAACCCAGCAAATTATATAACAGCATTTTTCATGATAGCTAAAAGAGCTTTTTAAAAACTCAAATTTTTATCAACTGAGGATGTGCAAGATTAATGTATATCCACAGAAACAGGTATTATTTGACTACGGAAAGGAATGGCGTGTGGACACATGAAATAGCGTAGATAAACACTATGCTAATGAACAATGTGCTGGTCACAAGAGATCTCATAATAGAGTACCCATTTACATGAAATGTCCAGAATGGGTAAATCCACAGAAATTGAAAAATTCATTAACAGTTGCCAGGGACTGGTGGAAGAAGGGAGAAATTCCTAGGGTCAATAGGGACAACTTTGCTCTCTGGAAAGAGGAAAATGGTTCTGGAATTAGTAGTGTAATGCCATGTAAATATACTAAAACACTGCACTGTACACTTAACTGTGTAAATTTTATAATCACCATACACAGCATTAAGCAATAACAATGCTTGCTTTTCAATCTGAGTAAAAGGAATAGAGACAAGACAAATGAAATGCAAGTTTGTGAATGCAGCAACCTAATTTTTTTCTTTCTTTTGCATTCTACATTAGTCTTGTGCTAAAGTTCACATAAAAATGATCATTATCTTAAAAAAATCAATGGCAAGGAGCTGGAGTGTTACTACAGAGGGTGAGGAACTTGCATCAGCCAAGCCAGATTCCCTGGCACCCTGTCATGAGTGATCCCTGAGCAGTGCTGAGTGTGGGCTCAAAAACAAATCAAAAATCAACAGCTGGAGGGCAGAGATATTACAGAAATTAAGATACTTGCCTTGCATGCAGCTGTGACAAAGATTAAAATCCCAGCACCACGTATGGTTCCCCATGCACACACTACAAGTTGTGGTCCCTGAGCATAGAGTCACCTGGGCACCCGGGCACCACTGGGTGTGGTTCAAAAACAAACAGAGAAACTGACGCTGAGGGCCAGGAGAACATACAGAGGGGACAGCACTTGTCTTTGTCTTGGGGAGCTGGGTTAATGGGAGGGGGGCCCGCTGAAGGAAACTGGACACCGAGACACAGGGTGTGGGTGTCGGAATACTAGATGCATGAAACGCTGAAACAGAGCAGAAATCAGAGTGCTTAAGAAGTGGGAGGCACTAGCCTTGGACAGGACTGCGCCGGTCTGGCCCCACGCACCACCAGGCAGGACGCCAAACCACCATCACCCCGAAAGCTGTCAGCTGCTCAGTGCTAGTAATGTTCACTTCAGGGGAGACCAAAGCCAGGGACCCCTTTGTTTCACAGGCACAGGGATGGGCTGAGAGCAAACGTGAGCATCAGGCCTTGGGCTGGAGGCTACTCCCAGCTGTGCCGAGGGGGCCACCTGGTGTCAAGGATAAACTCAAGGCTCCCACATGAGGGGCAATCCAACCCTTCTGAGCTCTCCAGTCCTAGATAAAGACATTTCAACTGGGCAGAGGACTAAAACTTTAAATCTGCTTACGCTCTTACAAGAGAGTCAAACTATGGAAGATACTAAGATAAACTTCCTACCAGAAATAATTTTACCTTTACAGGACTGTATTTTAGTTCTTTTGTTAGCAGTAGTTCAGAGTGATTTACGTTATCATGTAGAACTGGTATTCAAAGAAGAATAGTAGATGGTTATAAATTTTATGACTTAAGAGTTTAAAATCTGTTTTTATGCTCCCCATCGGTAAATTTAAGAATTTTTAAAATGAGGCCAGAGAGATAGTACAGAGGTTTAGGGGCTTGCCTTGCATGTGGCTGACCCCAGGGTCCACTCCTGGTGGTGCTCAAGAGAACCTGGGATACTAGGATCAAACCCAGGGGCTCCACGAGGAAGGCTTGTGCTCTTTCAATGAGTCACCACTCCTGCCTCATGTTTCTATTTTAAATTTTGTCGGCAGGCGTCAGACCACACTGCAGTGGGGAGAACGCTGTCCTGTATGCAGTCAACCTGTGTTTGATTCCCAGTACCCCGTACGGTCCCCTAAGCGCCACCAGGAATAATTCCTAAGTGAGAGTCAGGAGTACCCGAGCACTGCCAAGTGAGTCCTCCTTTCTCTCCCAAAAATAGTAAACTTGTAGGCAATTCTGTGAATGGTGAAACTGGATTTATAATTAAATGCACTGTGATATTTTTTAAATGGAGTGGCTGGAGAGGCAATACAGGGGTAAGGCACTTGCATCGCACACAAGCAATCCAGGTTCCTCAGAACCACATACGGTCCCCGAAACACCCTGTGTGGTTTGAGAATGATTCCTGTGAACAGCTGAACATGGGCCAAACCACAACCACCGCCAAGAAAAACTAAACTATTTCTATGGTGCATCAAATAAATAAAATTAACTGCTTTTATAGTTTCTGTGGGTAAGCAGTAAATACCGCTCTAACTTGAACAAAAGCTCCTGGCCCAAATAACCTTAAATGAGAGTATCACCAAATTAATGAGGAAAAAAAGAACATAATCAAGGCCTTGAGTTTAATCCCCAAAACTACATTACTCTCAAAGCACCACAGGGCCAAACCCTGCCCAACTAGCCGTCATAACAACTGAAAAAATGATGAGGGCCGGGGTCAGAAAGATGACACCGTGGGGCTGGAGCGATAGCACAGCGGGTAGGGCGTTTGCCTTGCACGCAGCCAACATGGCCGACACAGGTTCGATTCCCAGCATCCCATATGGTCCCCCGAGCACCGCCAGGAGTGATTCCTGAGTGCAAAAAGAAAAAAAAAAAAAAAAGATGACACAGTGGATATGTGCATGCAGCCAGCCTGAGTCTGACCCCAAGCAGCACTGCACACAGTCCCCAGAGCACGCCTGGAGTGACCCCTGAGCATAGGCCCAGGAGTAAGCCCTGAGCAGTGCCAGGTAAAAGACAGGGTTTCACAGGGGAGGGGACAGTAAGCAGGCTAGACACTTGTCTTGCATCCCTGCTACTCGGCCTCAGTCCCTGGCACTTTATTTGGTCGCCTGTGCCCCCAAGATTGATCCCTGAGCGCAGAACCAGGAATGAGCCCTGGGCACTCCTGGGTGTGGCCCAAAAACAAAAACTGAAATGAGACAGACAGAGAGAGACAGAGACAGAGACAGAGAGACATAGAGACAGCGAGCGAGCGAGAGAGAGAGAGAGAGAGAGATACACATACACACAGAGTACACATCACACACTGTGATGCAGAGAGCAGAAGAAATGCCTACTAGTGACTCTTGTAAATACTTTCTCATTGAGATATTTACTAATTTGGTTATAAACAAAACTTTACAACTTTATATACCCCCAGGAATTCCTGTCTCATGTATGTACAAAGGTAAAAATGTTGAGTGAAAGAAACAAACTGCAAGAGAATGCTGGTATGAAATTTCACTACATTGGCCAAGATGCTAAGTAGTATTTTTAAGTGTATGTACAAGATATAAAAGTATAAAACACAAGAAATCATACAGATGAATTGAAGAAATGGAAAGAACTGTGCTATCAGGATTCAACTGCATTTGTTTATTTCTTTTAAAAGACAGGAAACATTTCAAACAAAAATTGACAAAAATACTAAATTAAAAAATGTTTTTTTATTTCCTGTACCCTTATAGTAGAACTGTAGCACTGTCCTCCCGTTGGTCATCGATTTGCTCGAGCGGGCCCAGTAATGTCTCCATCGTGAGACTTGTTGTTACTGTGTCTGGCATATCGAATACGTCACGGGGAGCTTGCCAGGCTTTGCCATGCAGGCGAGATACTCTCAGTAGCTTGCTGGGCTCTCCGAGAGGGTTGGGGGAATTGAACTCGGGTCAGCCGCATGCAAGGCCTTACCCGCTCTCGCTGAAGAATTAAAGTTGAATATTTGTTTTTACTGGGGACACTGGTGGAGTGAAGGTCACACTGGTGGTGGGACGGGTGTGGAATACTGAATGCCCGAAACAACTGTGCTATGAACAACTTGGTACATCATGGTATTGTATTTGGGTTTTGTTTTGCTGATTCCTTCTGGTCAGCCCTCCCCCATAGTGTCGGGTCACCAACGTTCAGGAACCCACGTGGCGGCCAGCAGGACTGAACATGACGGGCTCGAGCTCCAACACAGAGTTACCTCCTCAGCCCGGAAACGGAGTGTCATAAAAAGTCAGTTTTTCACCAAGAAGTATCTTTGCTAATTCCAGGTCTAATCTGCCTCAAAGTCCATTTTTGCCATAGGTGTGCCTACATTATTTCCTTATCTCTGTGCTCAAAACACTAAGATGATTAAGATAGAGCTAAAGTTCAAAAACCCACACAATTATTCTTATGAAATCTCCACAGATATTGAAAATAAAATTATCTGTCAAGAAAAAAACTCAGAAAGTCTCTTTCATACCTGGCCTTGCATTTCTGGTCTTACAGGGTATGTACTTGAGTAAGAAATCCTCGGTCGGGCAGCAGAATTCCAGTAATTAGAGTTGTAGTTAGGATATGGTGACTGCTCCTGGGGAAAAAAAGAAAAATTAATTCCTTTTTAGTGACATTCCTAGAGCATTCTGAAAAGTTGATGAAGATGAAAGTATTAAAATTAAGTACTTTTTTTCCTTTGCCATTATTAAGTAGTATTGACTGGTGCCGAGGCTGGAGCTCGGTGCTGCAAGAGGGTTCACCCACCGGCACCGAACAGAGAGCAAGAGAGAGAGAAATAATTACTTATCTCAACAACTGTGGGACTTGGAAAGTAGCAAGAAGAGAATTCAGCTGGGCCTCCCTCTCCAAAGCTTCACTCCCACTCAGAGCTAGTGCAGGCTCAAGGAGACAGCCCAAAGGGAGAGCCTGGCACAAACAGGACGCTGGACTCAACCCCAACGAGGAAGTCCTGGTACCCCTGAGCTCTGCTGAGGAAGCCCAAAAGAGCAAACACCACAAGAGAGCAGAGCTGCAGAGGGCTGGCATACCCCATCATGTCTGCATTGGGAAGTCTTGGCTCTGACCCGGGGCCCCACAGGGTCCCCCAAGCCCCAGGAAGAATTCTTGAGCACTGGGCTGGAAGCACCAGCTGTGCCCCCCAAACCAAACAAAAGTCTTGACAGTAATTCGCAGGAAGAAAAAAATTCAACTCTGGGGGCTGGAGCAAGAGTACAGCGGACAGGACATTTGCCTTGCACATGGCCAGCCCGGGCTCAATCCCTGGCATCACATATGATCCCTGAGCACCATCGGGAGTAATTACTGAGCACAGAGCCAAAGTGACTCCTGAGCATGGCCGGGTGTGACCCAAAGAGGAGAAAAAAAAATCAACTCTGAATCAAAACAAATCAACTAGAGAATAAAACAAAACAAACACTGTCCTCCCATTGTTCATCAATTTGCTTTAGCAGGCCCAGTAATGTCTCCATTGTGAGACTTCTTGTTACTATGTTTGGCATATTGAATATTCTCAGTAGCTTGCCAGGCTCTCCGAGAGGGGAGAAGGAATCGAACCCGACTTGGCCGGGCTGGCTGTGCACTACGCAAATGCCCTACCACTGTGCTATCACTCCAGCCCACAACTAAAGTATATTAAATATTAACTAGACATGGTAAATCACACATTATCTTAGGCCAGAGAGATAACGTGTTGGGTAAGGCATTTGTCTAGCATGCAGAACCTGGGCTCAAACCCAGGCACCTCATAGGTTGCCCCAGACTTCACCAGCAGAGTGCCTCTTCACAGAGCCAGGCGTGGCCCCGAGCACTGCCAGTGTGGCCCTCCCCCAAAAGTATATATTATCCGATGTTATTTTAGTGTTTGCGGTGGTGCTTTTTTCTGGGCGGGCTGCTCCCAGCACGGTGGTTGGCATACCATGTGGTGCCAGGAACAGTTCTAAGCTTGGAAAGAACTTAAAGGGTAACAGGAATGGCTTAAATGGCTAGAGAAGCATGCTTAGCCTGGATTAGGCCTGGAGTTCCCCCTAAGCACGAGTTTAAGAGCCTTTCTCAAAAATACAACCTTCTTTGAATTTCCCCCAGAACTTTAAATAAAATTTCACAAAGAAGTGCCCCCGCCATTGTAATCACTGAATTTTAAGGATCACCGTCTGGTATCTGCCTTTCTCCTGCTCCTTTAACCTAGGGTCCAAGACCACGGGGCTGGCTCTGCGCGTGTCAGGACACCAGCCTTTGGTTCCTGACATGGTTCCTACCAAAAGGTCGACTCATGGGGCTGGAGCAATAGTACAGTGGGAATCTTGCCTTGCACGCAGCCACCCCAGGTTCAATTCCTGGCACTGCACACCGCCAGGAGTGCTCTCTGAATGTAGAGTCGGGAGTAAGCTCTAAGCACCACCAGGTGTGGCCCAAAAGCCAAAAGAGGTGGGGGGGCTGGAGAAATAAATTAAGGGAATTAAAGGGCTTGCCTTGCATCCAGCTGGTACCACTCTGAATTCGTGGCACCAAAAAATGGTCCCCTGAACATAAGGAGAGGCCCCTGAGCACCACCAGGTGTGGCCCAAAAACCAACAGCAAAAAAATTTAAAATGGAAGGACAAGAATGAAGCTGATTCTCTCCAATGGTGGCGAACTAACACTAACCCTGAAAAGGAGCCTCTTTCCGGTTCTTTCCTTCGACAGGAGTGGGCGAGTTCCGGAAGGGAGGGCAGGAAGCAGTGAGAGTCGGGGCAGGGAGGCCCTCAGCCACTCGGAAAGAGAATAACTCAAAACGCAAAGCTTCGGCAGAGAGGAATGAGCGGCAACTGCTCCTCCCTGCTGGGTTGGACACTGCGCCCCAAAGGAAAGGAAGGGAGAGAACATTAATCAGGGAAATTGGTCTGAGGACAAATATGGTAGCTGGGATCTGAAGTTTGCCTGAACATTTTTTCAAACTTCAAAACTTGTTTTCTTTCTTTCTAGTTTGTCCCGGTCAAGGACAAACTAGATTTTGCTATAACATCATGATCACAAATTTCAAGAAGGTACTAATAAGCACTACCTAGCAAATACTCCTTTTTTTTGGGGGGGGGGGGGGAGGCACACCCAGAGTAGTCAAGGGCTTACTCTCAGCTCTGCACTCAGGAATCACTCCTGGGGGGACTTATGGGGCCATATGGAATGTCAGGGACTGAACCTGGGTCAACCACATGCAAAGTAAGCAGCACCCGACCCACTGTACTATCTCTCCAGCCCCAAATATATTTTTAGGGGGTTTTGGAGTCACACCCAGTAGTGCCCAGGGATCACTCCTGGCGGCTCAGGGAAACCACATGTGGTGCCCAGGGATCAAACCAGGTTCATCCGCATACAAGGTAAGTGCCCCAACCACTAGACTCTCTCTCCAGCTCCTGTTCGAGTCACTTGTATCTTGAAATCTCAAAGGCAGCTCCTAGAGACGGGAAAAGAAAAAATCCCCTCTCTCTACCTGTTTCTCTTTCACGCTCACCCATCACCACACTCAACCCCTTCTGATGCCACCTGTGTGGGGTTTGCCAGCAATTCTGCAGCTCCAACTGCGTACCCTACCACTGAACTCTATTTTGTCACCATCTACCTGGAGAGAGCACCCGAACCTAGAGGGTAAGGCTCAGTTCTCTAAGACTGCCCCCCCCTTCAGATACTAGTCACATGGAATAGGACCCCAAGTAACCCACAATTAGTCTGGCTTGGCTACGCACTTCAGATCACACGTCCTCCTCCCTGCTGGGTTTGACACGGTGCCTCAAGAGCTCCCAGGCCAGAGGCAATGATAAAGGATACAGATGAGGAGAGTCACAGGGTTCAAAGTGCAAGGCTTCTGTCCCCGTGGAACTGGGATGTGTCACCTTCCTGGACTGTGGATGTGTTCTCCAAACCCCATCCTTTTTCCCTTTGGGGTACTGGGGACCAGTCCCAGGCCAGAACCCCCCAAAAACATATTTGGGGCTGGAGAGCTAGCACAGTGGGTAGGGTGCTTACTTGGCATGTGGTTCCAGTATGTGAAGCAGGTGCTTTACCACACCCACAGCCCACTAGCGGGGGAGGGGGGTCCTCTCCGAGGCAGTGTGGTTTGGGGAGCAAAGCAGTGCTGGGCACTGCATTGGGCTGGCAAGACACGCGCGATCTCCCTCTGGGTCCCTCTCCAAGGATTTTTTGTTGCTGTTGTTACTGTTTCAGAGCCACACCTGGAGTGCTTAGGAGCTACTCCTGGCTCAGTGCTTGGGGGTGACTCCTGACAGTGCCCAAGGGACCATGAAGTGTCCTGGATCAAGCCCGAGCCTCCTGCATGCAGAGCATGTGCTCCCAGTCAGACAGAGGGGAGGGAGCTCGTCCGGCATGCGGCCAACCTGAGTTCGATCCACAAGACCATACGTGGTCCCCCAAGCGATGTCAGGAGTGATCCCTGAGCACACAACCAGGGCTAGCCCTGAGCGCTGCCAGCTGTGCTCATAAAACCCACAAAACTGTTCCAGCCTCTTGAGGTACCCCCCAGTCGTAACCACCGGCAGCTTCCTCACGCACACCCGGGTCCACTAGGACCCTCACTTCCAACTACCGCTTCCCGAGAACAAGAGGCCAGGCTGTAACTTCCAGCTTCTCGGCGCCCTGCAGCTAATCACCTCCAGGAGACTAGGAGGCGTGCCTTGCCAAAAGCAGTGCGACCACCCTGGAAATCCAAAGGGACTGGGGAGTTTCGTGTCAAGAATTGGGAGTCACTCAACAAATATTAGAACAAAACGTCCCTAGGCTGGAGACAGAGCTCCAAGGCTGGAGTGCATGTTTGCATGAGGGAAGCCCAGGCCAATCCCTGGCACCACATGGTCCCCCGAGCACAACCCAGAGCAACACTTGAGCAGGGTTAGTAGTTGCTGGAAGTGGCCCCAAAGCCAAAAAAGAAAATGTAGGATGTTTTATAACGTCCCTAGTGCTCACATCACTTAGGAATCAACAGTTTTCAAGAGCCCTGTGCCAAGTACACTGGGGACAAGGGCACTGTAGCACTCTGACCTTCTGTTATTCAGCAATTTGCTCAAGTGGGCACCAGTAACGTCTCCATTGTGAGACTTGGTACTGTGCTTGGCATATCAAATACACCACAGGGAGCTTGCCAGGCTCTGCCGTGTGGGCGGGATACTCTCGGTAGCTTGTCGGGCTCTCCAAGAGGGGCAGAGGAATCGAACCCAGGTCATCTGTGTGCAAGGCAAACGTCCTACCGGCTGTGCTATCACTCCAGCAGGCGGGGGTGGGGGGGGGACACGACAGGGACAGGGGCAGAGCTCACAAGACCATGTTGCTGAGTCATTTTTTAAATGCAGTCTGATGGTTCAATCCATTCACACTTGGTCGGTACTATTAATGCAGCTAAATTTACATATGCCATTTTAGTTTTTGTTTTGTGTCAAGTCTGATGCTGTTTCTTTACTCTTCCTTTGCTGTATTCTGCGTTATGTGAATACCTTCAATGAGTTTATACTGAGGTTCTGTGCCTCACAATACTGTTAATGGTGGTTTCCCATGCACAAAGTTCCAACGCCCCACCTCTCCCCACTG